GTAGCTGCATTCATACTGGCACTTTTCTACCATTCGCTTTATGTAGTGTTAACGGCTGAGTGTTGGGGCCTTGGGCCGCATTTTTTAGAGATGTAAAGTGTATGTAGATCAGTAAGTGAACAAATCATTGTCGCATAACTTCACTGGCATAGCCAGGCGGTTGCGCACAGAATTTTTTTAGGCCGGGCGTAGGGAGCCCAAATTGACGACCATATTCGCTTGCCCGGCCTATTCAGATGAGCGGACCCTCCCCCCCCCTCCCCGCACGCCTGAAAAAAAAAATCTGCCCACATCACTGCGTCACTTGCTTCACCTCTGCGCTGAACGTACTATTTTATAAGCGCACCATCAAGCGAGCAGTTTACATATTGACAGAACAATTGGAGGAGGAATGACCCAAATCTTTCAGATTTCTTTAGTGATGCAAAACCTTAGCAAAACTGAATATTGTAAAAGACAATCATAAACGCTGTATGTTCTTGTTAGCGCTGTCATTATTCTGCATCATGAAATCTTTATGCGCTGTGAAAACTTGGCTTGCCGTTGAAGTCACATATCGACGTTAATACCAATCGACGAAAATTTCGACAACCTCAATAACGCCGTTTGGGATTTGCCACATGCACATAATTAGGCTGATTCCCACTTGGCTGTTCTTAACCGGACTTCACTGTTACCAAATGAAACAATATTTGATGCATGTCTTTTACTTTTTTTTCAGGGATATGACACAAATTTGGTTATACTGCAGATAAAGATGCTCCCAACGATGCTAAAGTACAGAAAGCAAGTGAATTTTGGTAAGTGCAGGCTTTTTGTACTACGTATAGGAAAGCATCGCTTTTAGGGGCAAACTGTGCATGTGTTGGCCAGAGAATAGTTCATTATGCCACATGGTTACACTGGCACTGACAATTCGACATGGCTCCGCTGGCCCATGTGTGTGCTCACACTGTTACCGTTAAGATAAAATGTTTATGTTTTCATTGCAGGGATTGCTGTTTGTACTAAAAAGCCAACTGCCAAGATTTGTTTACGCTGGTACTCCTAAAAGTATGCTTTCCCTATTTACATGGATTTTGGCTTGCACAAAGCATAACACTTGTGCCTAGATTCACAAAGCTGTCCATGCGCAGGCCTTCATAACAGCGTTTCTTGACTTGCCTTTACCCTGTTTTCTGCAGATGTTTCGTGGGTTTAAAAGTGCCACAGCATGTTGACCTCCCCCACTCTGAAATATTCGCGTTCAAAGTTCCGCAAGAGTGGGCTTAACTTTCTTGTGCACCTCTTTGCTAGTCCAAGATACTGAAGTGTTATGCTCTTACTAGAGGTGGCAGTGTTTCTAATGTTTGTATTTCCATCACATTGACCAAGTACGCGATCTTGGCTTGACTGGTAACACATCCTCAACAAATGTCTTTGTGGCACTTGTAGAAGGCAGTACAAAATAAATAGGCAGACATTCACACGGGGAGCTAACTACTAATAATGCTTTTTTTTGGAAACCATGGTGTGCTTATTCCAATTTGTCTAACAAGCAGTAACCTGTTTGGCTGTGAACCAACAAGACGTTGAACTAATAAAAGCTTCACATCTTGTTGCTCTCAAATATATATGTATTGGCAAGCTATCTGTGACACTGTCAAACAAAGAATCAGAATATCTGTGCATGCCTTAAGATATATTGCTTCATTTACATATCTCGTGGCTGTGACTCGTCAACCGAGTGAACAAATGCACCCTAGTTTTCTAAATATAAAGCATTTTTTGAAGGTAGCACAGTCTACATTTATTTGTCTATAGTTTTGTCCAGCCGTTTGCGTCAGGTACAAAGAAATATACTGAAGATTATCATGTAGCCTCTGCAAATGGTTGCTTTCAAGCAGGCTTTGCCTGCTTGGCTTGTGCCTACAGGTATTGCACAATTCAAGACCCAGCAGCGTATGATAGAACAGTAGAATCAAGAGCAACTATGTGCACGAGCTTTTAACATGTATTTTAACATGAGCGGACAGCACGTGTTATTTGCCACACACATGACCTCATTTAGAATGCCCATTGGTGAATGGGCCCCTAGAAATGTCACTCAGCTGTGTATAGGAAACAAGTTTACTGAACCTAAGGGTATCTTTAACTGCTACAAATATGCCTTGTTGAGGTGCTGCACATTTTCTTCCAGAATATTGCTGTCTGAGACATCATGTGAAGAGCGTCTACCACATCAGCATTTATATGGCTTGCCAAGTAACGTTTGGCCGAACCTTCCTTTTTTTTCACATTTCGTTTTGCAGTAGACATCCTAGAATGTAAGCGCTGCTGCAGTGTGTGTGACTCATTGTTATGAATTGATTCTGGCATGTTTCACCTCACACTTCTATTTTTTTTCTTGCAGCAATGAGATGCTTCACATATGCCTGCGGTGACGTTCTGCTGCGCTAGCCTGATGGAAACACCAGCTGCGAAACTTGAGTTCTTCAGAATTGGAGAAGTTGCCCTTCTCTCACCAATGATGACACAGACTGCCCTATGCTAGAAATTCAAGATTGTTTTTCCACGGATGACGCAGAAAACCTTTGATGTATTATGGTGTTTGTTTAGTGCTGGCTGTGGTGTGGCGAAGTCTACTTTTACTTGTGGTCACACGTCGCCTCATAAAAAGAACAATAAAGCATTTATTTTCCTTTCAATATTGTCCACTTTTTGTGTTAGAAGCACCCAAGCAGTGCTTTTCCAAGGAGCTCTCACCAAGTGTTAAGCATGTGACAAGCATACTCAAGATAAATACTCATTTCCCCAAGGATTAACTGGAAGCATGTGCAGTTGGTTTTCAGAGAGTAACTGCGAACACGTGGGAGGACGGTAAAGAGTAACTGTTGCTCTTAGAAGAGCTACTGGTGGGAGTAATGGTTGTTCGGCAGGGAGCTGGTGGGAGTAACTGTTTGGTCTGCAGGAGGAACTGGAGGGAGTACTTTCATCCCCCCGAAGGAGGAACGAAAGGAGGAGCAACGGTTCCTCCCTCTGCAGTTACCTCCTTTTAGGAGAGTAATGGGAGTGGCAATGCAATTGCTCCCTGAAAGGAGCAACCCCTATACCCCTGTTGCTCCGTTTTGGCTGAGAGTGTAGTCACCGGTGTGCACCAGCCTTTACCGCGACATGACGCTTGGTTAGTGAGAAAACGGGCAAAAAGAAAATGCAAGTGGAGATGCCACTGTGACATTCTCGCTCAAAACGTGAAGACCTAGTAAATCTTGTAGGTGTCTACTGGGTGCAACATAGCTTCTACTCGATTAAGATATGGCACAGCATAAGCTTATTTTAGGGCACCCATGGAAAACAAGTTATCTAGAAATTTCAATCATTGCGTCAATCTCAGAAAATTATAAACAATTCATCTTTATTGTGCGACGTCACGTGGGGAACTTGAGCGAGAAATTTAAAAATGAAATAACAGTTTTCATTCTCTCCACTGATACTGAATTTATGACGGGGAAACTCATGGCACTAAAATTTGAGAATGCACTTTATCAATCGAAACCAAGTCGTTGTTTCTCTTTAGTACCCCTTGAAAGCAACGCGCAAAGGTACACAGCCACTGACTTTGTTGAAGCTTCAGCAGCTGATGAGACTCATATATGTGCAAGTGCTTTGTAAAGAGTGGGCCTTCAAAATAGGCGCTCGTCGCGCAATGCAAATATTTTGACACTTGCCATCACGCCACACTATTTCGGCGCACCACCATCTTGCAACACGTCACATTCATATATATGTTTTAAAATGCAAGGCATTTCTTTGCGTACTCCTGACGCTGAGCATCTATCTATCTATCTATCTATCTATCTATCTATCTATCTATCTATCTATCTATCTATCTATCTATCTATCTATCTATCTATCTATCTATCTATCTATCTATCTATCTATCTATCTATCTATCTATCTATCTATCTATTCATCTATTTATTTATTTATCTATCTATCTATCTATCTATCCATCTATCTATCCATCACTCTATATCTATCTATCTATCTATCCATCTATCTATCCATCACTCTATCTATCTATCTATATATCTATGTATCTATCTATCCATGTATCTATCTATGTATCTATCTATCTCTCTATCTATTTATCTATCTATTTACCTATCTACCTATCTATCTATATATTTGTATGTATGTATGTATGTATGTATGTATGTATGTATGTATGTATGTATGTATGTCAAGCCGCTATGTCGGGACTCTCTCTCGATCACTTTCTTAGTTTTAAGCAGGCAAAATGAGTACGGGAGGGTAAGATGGTTTGACGATTTATGAGTGTCTGGTCATGACATGATTGATGTGGAAATTCCGTCACGTACGACAACAAAGACTTTCCTGGCACCATGTGATAGCTCAGGCATGGAGCTGTATGAATGCCATATTTCTGCGACATTATTATAGCTGAGGAGTAGCGTAACTAAAAGGCTATCGGCTACTCAATGGCCGTATTTTATTTCATGCACAAAGAAGAATTATTTCATATTTTAATATGTTTTTGAAGTGAGTGACTATAACGCTTTCCTTATTTTTCACTTCTGTGTACCGCTCCAGTGCCGAAGAATGACCGTTTACCGCTTACTGCTAGCCCCAGAATAGAAAAACAGTGGATCGGTTATTTACTAACGGTGGTGATTGACTTCGCAGCAAGAAGTGATGTAAACCGCGCCTAAAAGATTCGCCATATATCCGTTAGAGTTTTCGTAGCACAGCATGTTACGATCACTTATATTTTAACAATAAATTACACAATTATTTCATATTCAACGCACTCGAATGCATTTGCACGTATTGAAAAAAAGAACCTACAGGGGTATATTTTTGTTGAAACACTTGAAAACGGAGTGAGACATTCTAAAATGAGAGCTTCAGACAATTCTTTTTTTTGTTGTTGTTCTGTGTTTTCAAGCTATCTATGTGTTCTTGTACGGTGCACTCTCTGTGGAATGTACACTACTTACAGGATAGTACATTGCACGCTGCGTCTGCTAGTACGATGACAACGATGGCCCAAGCGCCCGCAGAGGACATGGCGTAACTGATGCCTTGCTCTCTACTCGAATCATCAGCAGGTGACCTCCAAAAGGCTCAAAGGCATACCATATGGACTATATGTTTGCGCACGACTTTGTATTTTATGAGCAGGCCACTGATATTATGAGTGTAGCGTATTATATGATCTTTGTGAAGACTAGAAACATTCATAAAAGCGTACGCCACACAAAAAGGCAGATTCGTTTACAACCCTTCAAATGACGTCTTTCAACGCAAAAAAAGACTCTCTTCTATTTTGAGCGTATACAAATTACAAAAGCTCTACATAGCAATACGCATAAAAATAACAGAAGTTCTACTTAAAAATAAACAGCGCTGCAAAGAGCCACTTCGAACAAGCCTGTACGGGGAAAAGACTTAATTGTTCGCTTATGGTGTGATAATTATGAGCTCAAAATACAGACATTTCAGCCTAGACATCCTCGTAATGTATATATGTTGCACGAGCAGGATCAGAAAGTTAACACATAAAGCTGTTCACTTTGACAGCGCCGTTTGTAAGGAAAGGAAATTCGAGTAAAACTATTAAAGCAGTTTCTGCGAAATATGAAAAGTTACTCTCTTTATGTTCTTGAACCCGTTGTGTTCCTTGCTCTAAGAAATCAGCTTCGCATTTGGTGTGTTGGAAACATCTGCTGCCCTTAGTATAAATGCAAAAGTGTAGACTTGACACAACAACAGGGCTGCCTTCTTTGGTTGGTGGTGTGCATGAAAGAGTGCACCTCTCGGCAGAGGTCCTAGGTGGTGAGGTGACCACATGTGTGAGAGCAACGTGTTGAAGTGCAAGAGGCAGTTTCACGATAAAGTTGGAGTTTTGTGAAAGTGTTGACGTGTCAGAATTTTCAAGTTGATAATAGTGGCCAGCTCTTGTGTTGAATAATAGCACTAAATTCAATGTTATCCTCACATTTAAAGCACAGAAGCATAAAAAAACTTGTTTCGCAGAAATGTCTGTATGCTTAGAAGCTTCGTTAGTTGTGACGAAAAAAAAAAACGTTGTCCCGATGAAACGATTCTGAAAAATGCAAAAAAAAAATTCAACCTTTCCTTCCCGTTAAAAGTGAACCCCAGTCTTTCACTTGGCAAAGAGGTGTTCATGAGTCACTCCCATGTTCAGTATGTCATCCATGTTATACTGAATTCCTTCCAGTTTCTCCAGAAACTGACATCTATTTACCTTTTGAGTAACTCTGGCGCCGAATCGATAGTCGCCTGTAACAGCATACACTACCACATAGTTGATGTGTCCTCTACCTTGCAATGTTTTTTCTTGTACAATACCAATCGTCTAATCAAACTGTTCTAATCAGAGTGTGTTACCGCCCACCTGATTATGATACGCCTTTCGAAATGATTTGTGATATTTATTCTGTCAAACAACGTTTCAGAACGCTTCGCTTATCTTATTCAAGAATATCGATTTTGCCGGTATAACATGGTCCATTGTAGCACTAATGCATCAAAACACAACACCAAAAGTGACTTCCTAAACGATTGATGAACATTGGGGCTCTCGCAACTCTTCTCTAAACTGACGTGACAAATTGAACACTCATCTTGAATTCTAGACCTATTTCTAACGTCTAACACAGATAATTTTAGTACAGCGTTATATTTATTTTGCATTTACGACCATTCAGTTTTTCGCACAACCTTTCATTGCTATTTACCTAATCTTGAAAAAAAATTGGTGAACGAAAAACGATATACGATAAGGGCACCTACGTGGCTTTGAACGATGGACTAGATGCTTGCTCTGAATACTTCTTAATCGACTTTATCTTGCGTACTGTTCAAATAAAACTAGCACCTATTTAAAATCAAACTACTGCGTCTTATGACAGATTCTGTTCCCACTATCACTTTCACCATACGGTCAACAACCCCGGGGTTTAACGCCCCACTAAAACGTCGCGAAAATGGAAAAGAAGTGCCAGTTCCGATCCGCTAAGCTATAAGACACGCAGTACGCATGACAAAAAGGTTTATGTGATGTTCTGAGCAAGAAAATTGGTGAATGGTATTCTGGAGGCGCTTCGTTACAGTGCCTCGAGCGTGCAATGGAGGCGAACGAGCGCAACAAGTCACGTCACACGTGAGACATGAACGCTATTTGGCAGTTATCTGGGAAAATAAAATGCGCGGCCCTGAGATGGTCGTGCGCGCCTGTCTCAGAGGTGATAGGGTTGAGAACGCAAGACGACGAGTAGGCGCCGCCATGTCGTCTTAGCAAAGCGTTGGAAACACTTTCCTTTTCGTGCAAGCGTTGCATGGTCAGCGCCCCGTGATAAACGCTACGGTTCTTAGAATAACTTAAATATGCCTTTTCTAGTAAAAGACGCACATACAGAACATATACGTGTTGTTATTGTGCCTCAGATATGCGCGATTATTTTTTTTAATTGACGATCGCACAACTATGAACACTGAATCTTCAGCAACATCGGTGGGCTCTGCGGATGGGGTCGGCCGTTTGGAATATACGCTGTTGCCGTTCAAGTGCCTGGTACCATTTAAGGGGGGCAAACAGACAAGTGAACAAAGAGACACGCCAAATTTTTGCGTCAAAGGTCCCCAGAAAGACTACCGTCTATAAAACGACAAGGCTTTCAAAAAGGTGTTTCGTGAACACCTAAATAGCACTAGTCACAAAAAATTAGCTCTAACAGTGACTTAAATATACCAGTGGTGGTATGCATGATCGGCCGAGTTTCGCGAAACTTGGGATGTTTACGAGCTCTCGCTAGACCCCCTTTCGGAAGGACTAACAGGATTAAAGGCTAAAATATAGATCCTTCGGCTTTCAGCACGCGTTGTGTTCACTTGGTTGTGATGGAAGGCGGCGTCATCTTGTGAAGAATGGACGAGGCTGGGCTGGCGTGCCCCCGTGGCCATGCTCAACTCAGGGGCGTCAACTTTGTTTGTAGTTCCACCAAGTGCATGGATGCACGACGTGGTGTATTGTTGTTTACATAGCGAAAGATTATTGTCAGTATTTATTACGCACAATGAAAGTCTGTAAGGTATTCCTTTAAGGTTTATATGCATGGTGATTAAGTTTGGAAAAAGCGTAAGTTTGTGAGTTTAGAATATGTTCCGTTAAGAAATGCGCTGGTTGCATACGCAGATGACGCAGCGTACTTTCGCTTAACGACCCCGCGTGCGTTTTACAAGCAAAAGATGCATAAGTGTCGTGTTCGCGCGGCCGTTCTTCACTTCAAAAATAAGCGTGATAACATGCGTCCTGCCCAAACTCTGTACGAAGAAAGATGAGGTTTGTAAGGCAATGCATGACTGTGAGGACCAAATCTGCTGCAACTGAACACACAGCTGTGGCAACCGACATCTGCAAAGATAAGTAATCTTTTCTATGTATGTCGTCGATGTAGGTGCTTATTTAATTAGTATAGCGCTTTCAGTGCCTTTCGTCATCATCATCATCAACATCATCATCATCATCATCAGCCTGACTACGCCTACTTCAGGACAAAGGCCTCTCCCATGTTCCGCCAGTTAACCCGGTTCTGTGCTAGCTGTTGCCAATTTATACCTGCGAATTTCTTAATCTCATCTGCCCACCCAACATTCTTTCTCGCCGTGATCAGCCTGCCTTGTATGAGAATCCAGTTAGTTACCCTTAATGACCAGTGGTTATCCTGTCTACGCGCTACATGCCCGGCCCATGTCCATTTGTTCTTGATTTCAACTATGATATCCTTAAACCTCGTTTCTTCCCTGATCCATTCTGCTCTATTCTTGTCTCTTAAGGTTACACCTACCTACCATTTTTATTTCATTTGCTCGCTGCGTAATCCCCAATTTAAGCTACACCCTCTTTGTGAGTCTTCAGGTTACTGCTCCGTAGCTAATTACCGCCAAGATATAGCTGTTATATATCTTCTACTTGAAGGATAGTGGCAATCTACCTGTCATAATTTGAGAGTGCTTGCCAAATGCGCTCCATTCCACTCTTATGCTTCTAGCTACTTGAATCTCGTAGTTCGGCTTCGTGGTTATTACCTGCCCAAGTAAACATTGCCTTTTATAACTTGAAACAGGACTATTACCTATCTCGAAGCACTGCTCTCTTGCTAGGCTGTTCTACATTACTTTCGTTTTGGCAGATTAATTTTAGGACCCATCTTCCTGGTCTCCTTGTCTAAATTCATATTCATGAGTTGCAATTGATCCCCTGAGTTACTCAGCAATTAAATGTCATCCGCGAAGCGCAGGTTACTAAAGTACTCTCAGTAATTTATTATCCCTAACTGTTTTCGTTCTAGGCCTCTGAAAACCTCCTGTAAGCATGCGGTAAATAGCATTGAGAAGATTGTATCCCCCTTCCTTACACATTTCTTGATTGGCATTATGTTGCTTTCTTTGTAAAGCACTATGGTAGCAAATGATCCCCAGTAGATTTCTTCCACGTAGTTTATATATGCTTCATCGACGCCCTGGTTCCGCAGTGTCTGCATAACTGCTGATATTTCTACTAAATCAAACGCCTTCTCGTAATCTAAAAAGTCTATATATAGTGGTTGGCTATATTCTTAGCATTTCTCTATTTCCTGATTAATAGTATGATTGTGGTCAATTGTTGAGTAGCCTATTCGAAATCCTGCTTTATCTTTTGGTTGATTGAAATATAATGTTTTCTTAACTCTGTTACCATTTATCTTTGCAAATAGCTTGTATACTACGGAGAGGAAGCTGATCAGCCTTTAATTCTTCAATTCCTTGTCATCTACTTTCTTACGTACTGAGATCATGTTAGCATTCTTCCGAGACTCTGGTACTCTTCACGCCAGAAGACAACTGGGAAACAGGGTGCCCCATTGAAACGTTGCCTATGCGATGTTCAATTATTTCGTATGTTTCTTCAATAATCCTATGGAAATATACGAAAAATGTATGTAAAACATAAGGAAAACATATGGATTCTGTATGTAAACATAGAATTATTGGACTCGCATAGGGAACGTTTCAGCAGGGTGGCTAGTTTTTCTAACACAATCTGTCCTCCATCTTTCAGCAGATCTGATGTTACCTGATCCTCACCAGCAGCTTTGCCTCTTT